TCTGTAAGGAAGAATAGCCATGACTTAAACTTTGATGAGAGGTCTAGAAGGGTATGAATGAATAAATTTTGAATATAATGGTCAGGGAGAGTGAATAAATGTCCTGGATTCATATTCAAGATCTTCATAGAAGTTTCTTCTTAATAAGGCTGGTAAGATTTCTGACCCAAAATAAAATTTCTTTGTACATTTTTTTTTACTAAGAATATCTGAGTAAACTTTTAAGAATAAGTAACTTTTTTTGACAATAAATATGCTATACAAATTTTAATTTTCTTTACATTATGGTTCATATTTCTTAAAAAGTTACTGTGTTAATATAAATTCAGGGTTTATTTTATATTTCCTAGCATAATTTTTATAAAATACCATCCTATGATTTATGTTTTTGTCTCTTGTCATCTGACTGCCATCTGGTTGTAGTCACATGAATTTTAAAAATAGGATCTGGAAAATTAATGACTAATCTCTTGAAAACTCTCCCATGCGTCCCAGTAATGCATACACAACACGAGTACAACGTCATAAAGTGCATTAATCAGAAACACATTCTCTATGTTATTGTTTTTCTGATGTTGTTTCAGAATGTACGTTTTAGGAAGCAATTAACTGATTTTCTGATGGATTTAAAAAGTGGAAAGCATCTAGTAGAATGCTATGTATCCATTGGAAAATTGTTGTTTTATAATGAAAAGAATATTAAGTGCCTGGCAAGCTAACAAAGGATCAAATTCCAAGTTTGACTCTCAAATCAGAGATTTTACCCAGTGTCAGGCTTTCCCAATCATTGCAAAGGCACCTACAGGTCTGGTCTCTAGAGGGCGGTTCCCAAGGCTTTATCCTGTGCCGCCGAGCATCCAGTCTCTGATCCAGAGTCAGGGATCCGTTCTCCAAGTGAGGTTTTGTGGAATTACCTCACACAGAAGAGGCAGGGTTTTCATCCATGACACATTTCTATTTTTTATTCCACCTATGTGATAGGTGGGATACAGTGCTTATATGTATCCCTAGTGTGTCTAGGGATACATGCTCATAAATTCATAGAGTCCAAGTTCATTTTCTCAAACCAGTCCTAATCAAGGACATGCTATTCAAATGAAAGGACCCTCCTTCCACTAAATATATTATTGTTCTGTTTACCAGAAGGCCTAGTTTTCATGTTGACAAAGAGATTAGAGTAAGTTTTATCTCCCTTCTTTTCTTACCCCTAAAGACAAACCGATTGCTTTAGTTTTTCCTCCCTACCCATCCCCACCATTCACTCTGAGAATGGTCTGTTGCGCAGGCTGCCCGTGGGCCACATGTGGCCCACCAAGGACATTTATCTGGCCCGCCAGGTGTTTTTGCCACTGTTGCCTGTCTTGCTTAGCAGCTGACTTGTCCCAGGCCTGCAGTCCAGCCCTCCAACTGTCTGAGAGATAGTGAACTGGCCCCCTGTTTAAAAGTTTGAGGACTTCTGGTTGGAGCAGAATGGTAAACTTAGTGTTCTGGATTTTACATTTATCTTGCATTATAAAGAAAATGCTTCATCACAGATCTTCGGAAAGAAGAAAAAAGTAGTCAATCTGTTGAAAGTAGTCAATCTTCTGTTGCTTCAAACTGTATTTTGAAACATTCAAAACATAGGAGATGAGATCTCTTATTCTCTTCTTGCTAATAGGTTTGAGTTCTCTGTGGATTCTGGTTATTAAACCTTTGTCGAGGCATAACCTGCAAATATCTTCTCCCATTCTGAGGGCTGTCTGCTTGCTTTACTCACTGTGTTCTTGGCTGCGCAGAAGCTTCTTAATTTGATGAGGTCCCACACTTTACCTCCTTCATGTTTACATGGATGGAGCTGGAAAATATTCTTCTTAGCAAAGTATGGAAGAAAAAGTATCTAATGTACTCAACCCTAGTATGAAACTAATTTGTAGCTACCATGGGAAAACTATAACCCAATTTTAGCCCAAGAAGATGGGGAAAGGGGAGAGGGAAGGAAGGGGATGGGGAGGATGGGTGGAGGGAGGGTGATTGATGGGATCACGCCTATGATTTATCCTATAAGGGTACATGTGAATCTTTCTAAATGTAGAATATAAATGTCTTAACACAACAACTAAGAAAATGACATGAAGGCTATG